AGAGAGAGAGAGAGAGAGAGAGAGAGAGAGAGAGAGAGAGAGAGTTCTTCTTCCTCTTCTTCTAAGTCTCACCATCTCTTCTTCCCCTCTCACCACCTGACTTCTCAGTATCAGCGGACTACTACAGAGAGAGAGAGAGTTGTGACTTGGGACTTGACGACATTGGATCCAGACTTGACATATGGGATTCAGACATTTCGACGAGGGACTATTTGGGCCTGTGCCAAAGACTTGGTGTTGACGACATTCCCATCTTCCCCTCCTCGTCTAACCCCCTTCTTCTTCGTCTGTGTATGGTAGGGGCTGGTGCAGTCTTCCTGTGTGAAGCGCCAGACCCCATTCACACCATGTAACGATGATGATGATGTATGTTCAGGGCTGCATTGCAATATTGATTGTTCGGATCATTGGTATCTAAGTCTTCCGCTGTGCTATCTTATACTTTGTATTGAGAGGTCGGTTCGTGTTCTGGTCTGCACCGTTACAGTATGCAACACCGCTTCAGTTAGGTGAGGAGGGCTCGACCTGTCCGCTTCAGTTAGGTGAGGAGGGCTCGACCTGTCCGCTTCAGTTAGGTGAGGAGGGCTCGATCTGTCCGCTTCAGACTCTGAGAGATTGACCAGTTCCGAGCTGAGGAGGGGTCTACCGGTTCCCATTCAAACTTAGAGAGTACTGGTTCTCTTTCAGTCTTTGAGAGGAGGTGTTGCATGCTGAGCCTGCCACACGGGCCCCGTTTTGGGGGCCTGACGGTTGAATGGCAAAAGCATGAGGAACGTGTGGGGTTTGAATGACAAAAAAAAAAAAAAAAAAACGTCGGCATAAGTCCGACGTTCGAGCACGTAATGCATCCGACAGGGGGATCACGGACAGTCATGGAAACCAATCAATCCATCAATCAATAAAAATATTCAGTCAATCAAATCAATCCATTGATCAATCAAGATTTGATTGATTGATTGATGGATTGATTTGATGGATTGATTTGATGGATTGATTTGATGGATTGATTTGATTGATTGATTGATTGATTGATTGATTGATTGATTGATTGATTCGTTCGATTGCCTTAAACAACTTAGATAACATGTGAGAAGCGACGAAAGCATGAGAAACACAAACTGATGTGAGAAGATCAAAATTTGAATGGTAAAAAAAAAGTTATGTCCGACTACTGTCTTCACCGGAGTAAAACGCCCAGTCATTATCGCTGCTTCTGGACTGAAAATTGCCCCAAATACAGCTATAATGACTGGGCATTCTATGCCGATGAAGATGGAAGGTTCGATTAACATTTCAAAAATTAGAAGCGGAAACAAAAGCAAGAGAGATCACCCGACTTGGACATCTGTCATCCCCCTCGAAGGTATCCACCCTCCCACTTCTCGTCATCTCCCCCCCCTCATTTTTGTGATTCTCCACCTCATCCTCTCCTGTTCGTCGACCTCGTCCAAGTTCATGCTTCGAAGTTCAAGATGCAGCTGTCACCCATACTCCATCCAAGTTCACCTGCTTCGAAGTTCACCCATCACCCGTCCAAGTTCACCCATCCAAGAAAGCTTCAAAGTTCAAGTAAGTCACGAGAGAGAGAGAGAGAGAGAGAGAGAGAGAGAGAGAGAGAGAGAGAGAGAGAGAGAGAGGCACCCATCACCCCTGCTCCTCCGGCCACCATTGACTAACCCCGACCAGCGAAAGTTTCCGAGTCCAAAAGAGAGAGAGAGAGAGAGAGAGAGAGAGAGAGAGAGAGAGAGAGAGAGAGAGAGAGAGAGAGAGAGAGAGAGAGAGAGAGAGAGACACCCNAGAGAGAGAGAGAGAGAGAGAGAGAGAGAGAGAGAGAGAGAGAGAGGCACCCATCACCCCTGCTCCTCAGGCCACCATCGACTAACCCCAACCAGCCAAAGTTTCCGAGTCCAAAAGAGAGAGAGAGAGAGAGAGAGAGAGAGAGAGAGAGAGAGAGAGAGGCACCCATCACCCCGGCTCCTCCGGCCACCATCGACTAACCTCGACCAGCCGAAGTTTCCGAGTCCAAGAGAGAATGTGTGTGTGAGAGAGAGAGAGAGAGAGAGAGAGAGAGAGAGAGAGAGAGAGAGAGAGAGAGAGAGAGAGAGAGAGAGAGCCCTGCTGGTTGCTTGCTCCTTGCTCGCTGGGCGGCGGATGGCTGTCGATCCTGCCTGCTGCTTCCTCACTGCATGGCTCTCGCCTTCATCGTTGGTTGGCTTTCGCTCTCCTCGCTGGCTGACTCTCACATTTGTGGAAGGATGGCGCAGGGTGGTGGCGGTAGTGGCAGCGGGAACTCCCAAATGGGCATCGGCAACGGGCGCGAATTCAGCCGATTCCAACTTGCGCCGCCCTCCGTACTTCCAATGGTAAAGGACATGTCTGCGTCCATCCGACAGTGTCCGGTACCACTGAGAAGGGCCGAAAAATAGCCCGAGTATTTTTGGGGGGGCGCCCAGGACCCGAAAAATGTCCCGGGTGGCCCCCTTTTTTTTTTTTTTTTTTTTTCGTGTGTGGGGTTTTCCGGATGTCCAGAACCGGACACCGGACCTGTGCAGAATTTTCGAGACTGTCCGCACACCGGTCCAGATGTCTGGTCAGTTACCGTGATTAAAAGATTAAAAAAAATAATAATGAATAAAAAATTGCCCCAGCCGGGCAGGTGGTCCCGGGTAACTCTGGTAGCCTAGTTACATGTCCTTTTTTCATGTTAGTTAATTGCAGCAACATATATCAAGGGAAAAACAAGAAAAATGTGGTTTTGCATGGTTCTTTCTGTTTATTAATTTTGTCTTGTCGAAATTTCAAATCCCAAAACACAAAGACCTTCCCTCCCCTTCTCCTCAGCTCCTCACTTCACTGTTTTCTTCCTTTCATTCCTTGCCACCCTATGTGCAAGGGGCAATGAGGCAATTGATACTGTTATGGCGATGATAATGGTGGTGATGTGGCTGATTATTACTCTGCCTGGAGACTGATTGGTGTGTTCCAGATTGGGAATGGAAAGTCTGCAGACCGTTCTGTACTCTCGTCGCCCCGTGGATGTGATAGGTGGGACCGAGCTTCTGCCTTCATCAACCTTGGCATCAGGGTAGCCTCTCTGCTCTGTTCATTTTGGCAGTTCTCTTCTCTTTCCTCGTCTCTTCTCTTTCCTTCCCCGCTCCCTCCATTTGCCTCTTTATGTCTCTTCCCATACCTCAGTCGTGTGCTCGTCCACACACATGTTATCTGATTGTCTGTCTTAGTCGATTGGTCTCGTGGACTGCTATCGTCTGTTGTGTTGTCATCTAAACCCACCATATGACATATGTGTACATGCTGGGAAGTACAAATCAGGAGCTTGCATGCACTTTTGCAAATGTATTATGTATGTGCATTACGCATGTATTATGAGTCTCATGGCCTTGCATTTGCACAGACATTTGTTTACATGTGGAGAAGCGGAACTAGAATTCATCCGTTCCCCGTGCCATGAATTCGACATGTCTCTGCCCTCAACACTGCATTGCACTCTATGCTCAACTTTGCATTGAACTCTCCACTCAACTCTGCGTTGCTCTCTGCATTCATCTCTGCGCTGCATTCTCCTCTCAACTCTGCATTGTTCTTTCCGACTCTGTGCTCGACTCTGTGCTCGACTCAGCACTCAACTCACTAGTCTGCACTCTGGACTCTGCACTCTGGACTCTGCACTCTGGACTCTGCACTCTGGACTCTGCACTCTGGACTCTGCACTCTCGACTCTGCACTCTCGACTCTGCACTCTACTCTGCAGCCGAGAGTGCTCGACTCTGCACTCAACTCTGCATTCTGCACTCAACTCTGCACTCAACTCTGCACTCAATTCTGCTCTGCACTCAACTTGGTATGGAGTTCATATGTATTAAAAAAGATGGGACAAGAGTTATGCGTGAAAACAGCCTGTATCTAATTGAGTTACAGAATATAGTCCAACTGTTAGGCATGGTCTGCATGCGTTGTCGTATAACTACCGGGGTAACTTGAGTTAATGAGGGTAAACCAGGGTGAACTGTGCTGTGTGTTGCACTGTATACAGAGGGGCGAAACCCTTCTCTGGTTGGTATATGTGTGTTGACCATGTGTCAGTGTCCTAGGTACTACCTGAGCCGCCTGTGTCTTGTCAGTTGCAGAGTCCAAGCGTCTAGTGCTCTTTTCGGGAAAGCTAACATAAAGCAGTGGAACACGATGTAGTTGGCAAGCATATCAATAGAGACTGGAGACGATAGGTACTGTTAAACCACCAGTACACCTCGGCCTGGAGGCGCTCCACTGCCCGCCAAGCTTTGCCGAACCGCCAGCGGCGCCCTTCTTTTCATTTTTGGCTGGCGCTGCCAGCCATTGTGGTCTGGTAGGCCTGAGGCACAAAGTTTTTGGAGTAGGCGACGAAACACTTTCTGCAAGGCTGGGGTTGTGTTCTACCAGTTTAAGATCCCGCGTTTTGAGTGACAGAAAGACTTACACACTCTGGGCGCCATGGGGCGAATCTGTTGATCGGTAGAGAGCCACAAAAAGGCTGGTATATGGGTCAGCAAAATGGTGGCTTACAGTAGATTGTATTAGCGTATGATCGAAATAACTAAGCCTAGCAACAAAATGTAGTTGGAGCGTGCTAGTAAATCTGGGCATAGGTTGGTAGAGTCCTAGCATGGGATGCAAGACTTTTTTTGTTTTTTTTTTTTTGGGCGGGCGGAACCGAGACATGTTTTAGTACCCCTGGGGTTGGCAAAGACTGTCGGATATGGCTTGGGCTTTATGAATTTGTTGCCTCGCTGTATTAACAGCTACCACAGGACCATGTCCGAAGTCTTCAGATGCAGGCGACAAACTCTCCTGTGTGTCGAGGTCACCGTGAATGGGCACCCGGTACAAAGATAGCTTCTGCCCTAATCCGGATAAAAATCTCCCCAGGTGTACAACGACCATCAACCTAATGGACACTCAGAACTGGCACCTCCCTGAACAGGCACGATAGGGCCCCTGGGTGCAAATTTGCAAAATGATGCTAAGTGGCCAGCGTGCATCCTTGGCTGCTCAGGAAAGGTGTCCAGGCCCTCAGTCTAGACTGGCCAGGTCTTTGATGTGCAAATTTCCCTTAGTTGCACTTAGGTGGATCTAACTATGTCCCCATGCTCAGTTGCACTGAACTTGTTTGTGTTGTGAATCACACTGAAATGTAGTCTTTTTTTTGTTTGTTTTTGACGCAACTTGACGGCCTTGAGATATCGTCATTGAACTCGTCAGCCCCAGCTAATTCAGAATTATTATATTTTGTTCATCTGGTTGCATATGGATTCGAACTCAGGTCTGTATTTCAGCAGTTACATCGGTGTATAACCTGAGCCACCACACACTGAAATATAGTGTTTTTTTTTTTTTTTTGGTGATAGAAGTTCATAAAACAGGCCCTTATCGTCCTGGCTCCATATCCATTCCGGGGAGCGTAGTCCGGTTCCTACTCCACCGGCAAGTTCAAACAAAAAAATGATACAACATATGCTCACTCATACCTCCTTCCGTATGGCCGAAGGATTCCCTGAACAGCATTGATTGCTCCAGTTCATGGAGGATTGACTGTCAGCTTGCCTTTCCCTGTGATTCCTCTCAGGCTCTCTAGCAATGAACCCGTCATATAAGCGTTGATGGAAGAAAAACAGAGAAAACAGACTGCAACTGAATTCTCTTCCTTGCACGGGTAGTGGGTAGGCGTCTCCTTTGGGCTTGTATTAGAACTATATGTTGTTCTTCTGAGGTCTTGTGGTACTGGATGGCGAGTGCCACTTGGTCCCTGGGCCAGAGTGGAGTTGTGCCAGTCCTTCCGCTGGAGATGAATTCCATGAATGTCTGCTATTTTTCCTCCGGCCAGCCAGACTCACATAAATTTGGCCCGAAGTCCTTGCTGCTTGTTTTTTTTTTTTAAATCTGAATTTGGATCTTGACGTTCCTCCATTGACACAGGATTTCCGCGTCCATTAGTGATTTGGTCATATTGCCCACCCCTTCTCACTCGGTGTACATGAGTTCTCGAATGCTCTGCTGCATCTTTCCTTCCAGATTACCCAGAATGTCACCGTACGATTTAGTCCAAGCCAGATGCGCTCCGATTTGCCAAAGTGGGGGGGGATGTTAGTCCATAGGAGAATTTGGATTGGGTGTTTCAGTCAAGGATGAGGATAAAAGATGGGTCCCATAGGACGGATGCTCTGACCCAGTAGTCTGTAGCCTCCTGACATGTGATCAGGCAGTGTATGATATCTTCCTGTTCGCCGTCTGAGCAGACGAAGCACCGATTCGTGCTGTTTGGGTAGTTGTTCCTTCTTCTGATGTGGTAGCCAGCTGCTCAGTGGGAGTGCAGCGTTGGCAATGAGCCATTGGAGACTTTTGATTTTAACTGAAGGAATTGATTTGTAGTTTTGCCATGGTAACTTGGTGATTTGATCCGCTTCTGGGCCTATCAGTTTAAAACCCATCTGTCCTTGACTACTGGTTCGGGGTCCTTTGTCGCTAGTAGCATTCTGTAGCCCTTTTTTTTTTACCGTATAGTCTGTTTGTTATGTGAGTGGAAGTTTTGCGGGTTCTGTCCTTAGCAGAAGGCCAGGCCCATTCATGTGGGTTATATATATATATATATATATATATATCGTCAAATAGAACTGCCCGGTAAACCGTAGGCAGAGAGGGAGAAGAGGACAACAAACGAGGGGCTGTGACAAACTGTTTCGTCGGAGTTTCACCGACTCATCAGGAGGCTGAAC